CTTGGTAAGGCTGAAGTAAAATGTTAACTAGGCTGCTTGCTCTCTTCTCTGAGGCTCTACTTGGAAAGGATTTGCTCCTGAGCTCATGTGATTGTTGGCAACTTCTTGTGGGCTCTCGGGCTGAGTGCCTCAGTTTCTTGTTGACTGTCTCCTGGAGGCGGCCCTCCCATGACTCATACTATAGGCAGCTCGCCATGTGGCACCTGGCTTCTTCAAAGCTAGCAGGGGACAGGATTTTATAGTAGCATGGACATTACAATATTATGTGATGTAACCACATGGATTCCATCATTTCTACCTCGTTCTGTTGGTTACAAGCCAATATCAGTTCCTCCCATCCCCACCCCCACTCCAGGGGAGGGGATTACACAGTCACGGATAACAAGGGACCAGGATCCTGGTAGCCATTCTACAGTCAGCCACACTTGAGGCTGGCCAGGAACATGGCTTCCCTTTATTTTTACCCTCTTCTCTGTGCATCCTCCTATTTAACTAGGAGCATGTTTTCCATCCCTTCTGTCTTCTTTCCTCCTTCTGACCTGTAGAGAATTCAACAAACCCAGATGGCTTTTCCTTCTCTCTTTGGCTATAGAAATGCAAGAAAAAGGTAGCAGAAACTTTTGGTAAGCAACTCTCATGCTATCGGGCCCTCCCTTGACAGCTAGAACTTTGAGTGTGTGACGCCTTCTCTAGCAGGTGTTTCTAAGTCATGATGTGCCTTATGTTGTATAAAGGACCTAAGTGGCATCTTTTCAGCTTTTGTGTCTTCTGGTCACTGTTGTCTTTAAGCAAGTGCTGAATTCCAAATCTAGTTCACTTTCACGGCGCATCCTTTTAGGATCTCTCACTATGACTGTTTTTAGAGTCAGTAGCGGTTTTGGTTCTTTTACTCTGTGGCCCCATTAACTTCCCCTTTGTATAATTTCCCTCTTCTCTCCAATTATTCTTGGGTATGCCTTGCCTTGCTATGGCCTGCCCTGGTCTCCATCAGTCTTCAATTACTGCTCCTTCTCCTTGCTGAGGAGGCAGTGTCATTTAGTGGTTAAGAATGAGGACTAGAGTCAGGCTGCCTGGGTTTGAATCGCAGCTCTGCTCTTTATTAGCTGAGGCATCTTGAGCAAGAGATTCAGTTTTGTGTCTATATGGCTGGTATTAACATTTTTTATTTTTCCACTGGCCAAAAGCTGCTGCCACTCTCACTTTCTCCCAAGATATAGGAGCAATTTGCGCTTTCTTCCTAAATGAAACTTGACCCCAATCCATTTGCTGGTGTCCTGGTGATGTGAGCTGGAACATATTTAAGCCTAGGAGGATAGCTCTTCTTTTGTGAATGTGATTGTCACCTGGTACTTGCTTTGCCTCCTAAGGATGAAGACAGAATTCTTACAGTAGCAACAACATTTAAGGAGCGCTTACTGTTTGCCATGACCCTTATTAAATTGTTTGCAGGCATCATGTCTTTTAACCTATGTAGCAATATTAAGTTGTAGTACTGCTATTACTTCTGTTTTATAGAGGAAGAAACCGAGGCTTAGAAAAATTAAACAACATGCTCAAGGACTTCAGAGCAGACTGGGGAGTGAGGTTTTGTGTGATTGCAAAACACATGCTCTTAATGACCACAGGGCACCGTCTCTCATAGAGGCAGCCCGGACCTCTTAGTGAGCTAACTCCTTAGGAGGAAGGAGCCTAAGAATCTAAAACAATTATGTCATATGGGTGTAGGAGCTTTTATCCACTTCTGCAGCCTCAGTGCAAATGCCATCCCCTAGCCTCTTAGCTCTGAATGCCCTTGCTTTTGGTGCCCGCCAGACTCCCTCCATCTTGGGGGCATAGACTGGGCCCTGCTGTGGAGGAGAGACCATCCATTCCAAAAGGAGTGTGTTCTTTTTGGCCACGTATTTGTGTGATTGTTGTGGAATCTCAAGATTGTATATGAAGTATGATTAAAAATACCGAGCTTTTGATAAACCCATCCAGGACTTACATTGTATATTCACAACATTCTCTCTAAGTGCATCAGCTAACTTAATTGCTTACATTCTGGTAATATTGCCTTCACGCTGTGTTCTTTTAAATGAACTTCATCTCAACCACCTTATACCCCTTTCCCCACCTCCAGTACTTTAACACAGTGACTTCTGCCAAATGGTTAGTTCATTAAAGTCGGTTGTTGAAGTCACTTGGAATTCTTTTAAGTAACCATAGTGGTGGCAAATTACCTCTTTGAGGATGAATTGGATTCCTTGAATCTATTAAAATATTTTCCACTCTAGAAAATAAAGTGGTTTTTGTTCAGAAATCAGGGGTGACTAAACTGTGATGAGACAGATTTTCTTGTGGGCAGTAACTGCACACTGGTTTTGAAGGGCAGAGTACTCAACTCACTCTGAGCAGGTAGTGGCAGTGGAGTGAGTCCTAAGGAGGATGCATTAGAAGGGGTCAAGAAAGACTTTTTTTAGATAGAAAATTCTGCATAAATGTTGGTATTGCCTCACCTGTGTGTTCTTTTTTCCTTGAAAACAGCTCACAAATCATACTAGTGATAAGATTGTAATGTGAAGCTAGCCTGGGTAGTGGGGTGCCTGCCATTCTTTGTGTGACTTTTATTTCCTACAGATATCGCTGAGTACTTGGCGTTACAGTTCACACCAGAAGAATTAACACTGATGGAAATAATTCATGACTTCTTTTAAGAATTTATCATTAAAAACCTCAGTACTGATATGAAGAATGCTAGCAGATGCATAGCTAGAGCTTTCTGTTTGCACAGTAGTAAAGGCTACCAACTAAAATGGGGATTTTTATTTAACACTCCAGAGCAAAATAGAAAAGTTTTATATTGTTGTCAAAAGTATGATTTGAACATCTCTCAAGATGTTCACATGGGGGAAGGCTCTGAATTTGATGGACTGTGTACCATAATTGCAATGGTTAACGGGAATTTCATAGACTATCATACTTGGGCTGTAAACATAGTAGCTGAAATTATATTTTGGGGACATAGTCTACAATGGGCACTATAATGCATCATCTCTAATCTAAATAACTACTCTCCAAGGTATTTCATAGACTTGGAAACTGAGGCTCAGAAGGATTAAATTGCCTAGCAAAGACCACGCTGCAGTTACATAGCAGAGGTAGAGTTCAAGTTTATTTATTTTAAACCTGTAGCAAAGTCTTCCGCATTTCCCATCATTTTAAAAGGCATCTAAACGATGCCAAGTGACCAGGCATCTAAAGCTATAGCTGGCCCGTGAACATGTTCCTTGACTCTCCAGTCCTTCTCTGCTGTTCTTACTGATGTTGGCAAGTTCTTTCTTTGTTACTAGGAAACCCTCTGGATTTATGTGGTGTTTGCTTCATTCTCTCCCTTCTCTGTGTCACCCACATAAACATACTCAACCACCGTGTGGTTTGGATAACCTGAGGTTTCTGTCTGTTCTGTAACTGAAGTGACACTGTCTCTCATGGCACATCAGTGTATGAAGTCATTTTATAATTATTATCAATCTCTCCAAATGAGTTAACACTGAGGCTTCAGACAAATAAAGTTGGTAGATTCTTATTTTATGCGTTGTCTACTTGGAGCCAAATGTTCTTCATGTAAAATGAGTGATAGTTGCATTCTGACAGGTAGAAGTTGAGTGTTTTCATTTGGTCCCCTTCTGTGAAGGGAAATAAAGCAGAACTTCCTATCCCTGGGTTGTAGAACCTATAATATTATGAAATTAAAAGACAAAAAGTAAAATACTCTGACTGACATTATCTTGGAAAAAGGGAGGCACTTTCCTGGGCATATTCCATTATTTCATGAATTATACCAATCTCCAGTGTTTGGGTTGGACATGTGGACAAAGTAGCAAGTCTGATCATTGAGTATTGGGTGTTCCTGCTGCTGAAATAATGTCCCTGTCAGATCACAGCACGCTTGACTTTGGCAGATTATATTTTTCATTGTATTTGATACTTATAACCACACAGTGCACTAGGAGGCATTTGATACTTTTTCAGAAATGAAGAAATTGAGATTGGGAAAAGATAAAATGATTTTCCCAAGATCACACGGCTAGTACGTGGTAGGACTTCTTTTTTAACTTTATTTTTTATCGTTTACACTATTGCAATTGTGCCCATTTCCCCCCTTTTGCCCACCTCCACCCCACCCTCACTCCCCTTTCCCTCCAGCCATCACCACCACACTACTGTCTGTGTCTATAGTGGTAGGACTTTGAACTGAGGTTGTATATCTATGCATTGTCTTTTGGTGGTTTGGTTTGCCCAATTATTCATCTTTCCTATCCTGTAAGTTTTCAACAATTTGAGAAATAGAGGAAGCATTCAAATGGGAGTCAATATAGTAGTGTAATTACTGATAAAGCAGAATTAGAGAACACAGAAGTGTCAGTTACTTCCTTCTCTAAAACATGCATTGGATCCTAGCAACCCTGACCTAGTCACCCAGCGACAGCTGGAGAGAAGCTGGGGCCGACAGAGCTGGCTGGCCTCTCAGGAGCAGGCAGCCTATCGTCCTGTTTGCTGTGTGGAAGTTGGTGGGCTCCAGGTGGCCCCTTCAGCCTAGCCCAGTGCAGTGGCCAAGCACTAAGCCAGTGCTTTTTCTAGTTCTCCCAGGCAAATTAGTCACTCAGGTTTGAGAAGAAGGAAGGAAGGAGTTGGGGAGGAGAGAGAAAGCGAGTTACTTAATGCTGTTTCCCTCCTAGGAAACAGACCAAAGATCTCCTCCGAAAAACAAAAGGGTGGGTATTACTGGTGATCTCCATCCCAAAAGCCAACAGTAGAAATACTGCTCTTTAATTTTTTTTTCTTGAGGTGATCTTTTATGTTATTCTCTTCTTCCTTTTTGATTAGAGGGAAAAGAAGAGACAAGTATGTTTTTTCTCTGTGTTTTGGGTATAAAGGAAGGGAAAAGATGAATGTAGAAACCAAGAAATGGTTTTTATGTGACATATAACTAACCATATTCCTTCTCCTCATAACAGGTGACAGAAATGTACTGGAACAATGGGAAAAGCCAGTAACTTATAGGAAGCCAAGATGACAAGAATTTTTTTAAATAATCAGTAAGTAAAATTTTGTTAGCCCTCCAGAATTCTTCTGACTACTAGGTGAATTTTCTATAAGAAATTTCTTAATATGGCATGAAGCTTTGCTTTTTAATTCAGAAATTAAGTTTTAATGAAAGTGAATTGTCTCCAGAGAGAGAGAGAGAGAGACAAAACAGAACAAAATCTGGGCAGTTTAAAGTTCTTAGGGGCTTGTATAAAATCTTATGGAATAAAATGGAGAGAAGACAGGAACCTGCATGAGATATTTCAGTGTTTCTTCTAAGAAGCAGTTTCTTAATTTTTCTAACTTGCCCTTTAGAAGGGAACAATTGAAGCCTGAAATTGCTAAGTAACAGCTAAGATTGTGGTGGTTGTTTTTATTTTAAATCTCACCCACCTAGTTTTCAAAGCACATTTTTTTATTGAACCTTTAAAAAATGTCTTGGATATTTCAAAACATTCGTTCACGTCAGTTCCCTTATGTAATCTTAAAAAAAATATTTTCCTTATTTCTTCTTAATACCATAGGCATTTATAGTTTCTACTGAGTCGGGGATGGACTTGGATTATTGCAAAAGTTATTCATTTCAAGCAGGAATTTGTGGGTAGAAATCTGAAAGACTTGCCTCTGGATTAGGAAATATTGACCTCTGTCTTAGTCAAGTTGAATAAGGGTATCTTTGGTCACTTTGAAAACAAACATGGAAGTAATAATTAACAGAGACATTTCACCCAGGTAAAATGTTTTGATTTGTAGTTTCTCTCATGAGAGTGACTTTATGCTATCTAGTGAACACCTCCAGTATAGATGAAATTGTAGCCAGGGAGCCGCTGGGTCTAGTCTTCAGATATGTAAATTGTACAGCCTCGCATTGGGTTTAAATCAACACACTCAGTAGTTTGCTGGAGACTTGGGAGTCGTGGGTTATGAAGATGAATTCCAGTATAAATAAGGCAGGCTTCCTCCATCTTGGGAGTTGACAATCAAGCCTGAACATAGAAAGTTATAATTTCAAAACAAATGTGGTTGAGGTTATAGGAGATATACCAGGTGGGGCAAAATTAGGTTTACACTTGTGAGCATATGAAACACAGTTTATTCTTGTATTATAATTGTTGTATTATTTTCTAAATAAACAACTGTAAACTTACTTTTACCCCACCCTGTATTAAATACTCAAGAAACATTCGGGAGAGAGAAACTACCTGCGTGGCCAGAGTGGGCTAGATCAGGAGGGTTTCAGGGGCAGGTGGCATTGGAACTGGGTATTTAATGATTAATGCCTTTTATCTAAAATAACTTTAAAAATTATAAAAACAAACAATGCTAATTGGGAAGAACTTTAAAAATGTGAAAATTATTAAGAGTAGAAAATTCATCAATATTATCACTACCTAGAGATACCATTATTAATCTTAGGGTTTTCTTTATTCTGACATACTCTCTCTATGCCTAGATTAGACACACAGTTTTTTCCTCCCTAAAATGGAGCATTATAAATATTATTTTGAAGCCTGATTTAATTGATGGTATATCAAGACCATGCCACATCAATAGATATACATCCACATCATTCTTTGTTATATAGCGTTATATGAATACGTAGTTTATAATGTATTTAACTAGTTCCCTGTTAGTGGGCATTTTAGTTGTTCTCAACTTTTCACTATCATGAACATCTTTGTTCATGAACTGAGTGTGGTGCACTTACCGAATTATTTGTGCAGGATATTTGAATAGAGTTGCGATGGTGCTTTAGGGAAGGAACACTGTAGGCAGAAGAAACAGCTTGAGCAAAGGGGCAGAAGTGGGAAGGGAATGCCCCATTCCGGGGAAAGGCTGGACTTGTGTTTAGTGGCCTGCAGATGGACATGGGGAGTAGCACCAGTTAGGGCAGGAGGTAGAAGACAGAGGGTCTTCGATGCTCAGCCCTTTATTCATTCTCAGTTGGGAGCCATATTGTAATCTGTATCATCCTTCAAATAAAGATTCTGAATACCTTCATTTTTTCTTAATTTCCCTTATTTGGGGGGAGAAATAAAAATTATTAATAATTCTGCTTTCCAAAACATTTTGAGTCTTAAAAATCAACCCATCAGGGAGTGAACAGGTGATAGAAGCCGGGAAAAGTGCCTATGTCCATAGAGAAAACTGTAAGGGGAGAGGAGCTTATGGTCTTGAAAAGTGAAGGATACGTCATTAGTAAATGTATTTTCTACACTTCATGATTAAAATGTGAAGATTAGGGAACACATATTACAATAATAATGTGGTCTTATATTTACTGGGTGCTTTTGTGTGTTTGTGTGTACCTCGTTTTACTTCATCTCTCAAAAACCTTCTCAGCAAGAGTCTAGGATTATCTCCGTTTCGCAGTGAACCGGAGGCCTGGAAGGCTGCCTCTGGGGAGAGAGCACCACCCTGGGAGTTCTGTAGTTTGTGCGCTGCTGGGCCCTGGGCAGGTCCTGCTGGGATGGCGTGAGGACACACTAGCACAACCTCTGAAAGGTTACAAAGACAGCATAAAGTACTGTAGAAGCCAGGGGGTGGGGTGGGGGGGGGGACTGCCTTTTATAATTGGACACCTCTTTTATCATTAATGAAGGGAAGAACACATTTCTTTAGCTATTTCCTATTGTCAAACATTTGCTCTTTCCTTCCTGCCCATCTTCCACCCCTGTGTGAGGATTATGCTTTCCCACCCCATCCAGGGTTAATCCCCACGCTGTGGCCTGAGGACTCAGTGTGGCCCGTGAAATGTGAACAACAATGACACATGCCATTTCTGAGAAGCTTTGATAGACAAGGCCTGGTTGTGCCATCTCTCTGTTCTCTTTGCCGTGAGACCAGCGTGTCTCAATGAGGGGAGCTGCTTCTGCCTTGGTGGCAGAGTGAAGAGGACATGGGGGCCAGCCACAGCTCACCTACCAGGAAACAAACAGGAGCCAGAAACAAACCTTTCCCCAAGGTCATTGGCCTCCAAAATATTGATGCTATTTGTTATTGCAGCATAATTCAGCCTGAACTGATATATTACAATTATTGTAATATATATTTTTTGCATGGAAGAGGCAAACCTTCATCAGAAATTATCACTTCAAATAAGGCATTTTCATAAGGTATTTAAGTTTGACCGTGTTGACCCTTCATTTATTTATTTTTTTAATTTCCAAACCTTTGTAGAACATGTGCGGTGTTAAGGTATGGACATCTGGAGGTTTAAAATAATCCAAGTCCCAGACCTGGCCTTCAGGAGTCTTAGAGGAGGATGCTGTGTGTCCCAGTAACTAACTACAGGACAAGGCAGGCGCTCAGTGCCCCAGGAAAGGGCCACTTTGATAAACCGTGAGCTGTGCTCGTGTAGGCGTCCTCACTTTGTCCTATGCCATCCTTAAGACATTCTTTGTGTTATTGCTTTACATTAGTTGAGCTTTTCTTCCCTTTTCCTTTTCCTCCTGAGCATGTATTTATAAAGATTTTAGGTATTTATTTTTGGAGAGAGGGGAAGGAGAAAGAGAGGGAAAGAAACATCAATGTGAGAGAAAAAAACTGGTCAGTTGCCTCTTGTAAACACAAGATCCAGGACCAAACCTTCAACCCAGGCATGTACCCTGACCGGGAATCGAACCTTGACCTTTTGCTTTGCAGGACCATGCCCTGTGGAGCCACGCCAGCCAGGGCAGCATGTATTTACTATACCATTTAATTTGTAACATTGTTAGATTTCCTTATTCTCAGTTTGTATTTTTAGTGAAACAACTTATACTGGTTCACTCGGTAGTTAAGGCTATATGGCCTTTCTTTTGGCATATATTATAAATTCTTCAACTTTACAGATGACATATCTTAACTTTTCCCCCATAATATAAATTGCTTAACACACTATTATAACAAAATTAAACTCTTAGTAAATTACTGACTGTTTTATTTGATTTTTTCCCCCTGATGTTATTGGTTCTTTTCTTCATGATACATGAATTGGCGTTTATTGTTAGAGTTCTCCTTTCCTTTCCTTTTTTTTTTTTTTTATGGTGTCTGACGTGTTTAGGCTATGTGTGGGAGAACCAGTTTATCTTGGCTTAGTAATGCCTTACCTCAATTTGGAACAAGTTGGAGTTCAGCTGTCATATGCCAGGTCATGTGCCTCATAATCTGACAGGTGTTAAGGAGATTTAACCCAACTTTATATTCCTAGTGGCTGGTTCTGGCTTCGGACCACGAGTGAAACCAAAGCTCCTCGAGGTCTGATGAGCAGTTTCTAGGTTAAGACAATAACGAAACTGCTCCCTTCCTTTATGAATTCAGCTGTTTTCTATCTTGTTACTTCTGACTACATATTCACTTTCATTTCAAAAGGCACAGGATTAATTTATTATAAAGTCCCATCTTGAACCAAGGACTTTCAGACTTTTTTGTCCAGCATGCACAGGAAGAAATGGTTGCAGCCTCAGTCAGGAAGAGCACTCAGAGCTACCGTGACTTTTCAGGTTGCTTTTCAGGTTGGGTGGTGAGTTCATAACTATTGAATTTAAAGTTATTTTTCCTGACAGATATGGTGAATATATTTTCTCATGTGTATTAAATACTGCATAAGCAAAAATGTTTTTAAGTGTAAAACGTAGTGAATGAGGTTAAATGCATCAACTACATTTACGCTGGCAGAATGGAGTCACGCGAGTCAGTTATTTTCGCATTAGTGATTTTCTTTGTAACACCTTAGAAAGGTATTTTCATAGGTAGTGCCTTCTTTATTCAATAGGGCAAAAAACTTTTACTGAAGATGCTATTTAGAGACCCTTGATTTTTCAAATGATCTTCATGTATGCTACGAGAAGCATCAGTAGAGTTTAAGGCTTGCTGAGAAATATATTCTTTTGTTCTGCCACAGAGAAGTCCCTTCTCAAGAAGATACAGAAAGTTAGTACCTGACTGGAGACTGTGACTGCCCACCAGTTCTCTGCACAGCAGTCTCGACATTTGCAGAGGCTGAAACACGAGCTCTCTGCCCCCTCAA